CCTGATAAAATCTAAAACAATTCTCTTAGTTTTAAGGCAAACAGCAAAGGTTTCAACAAAGTTCAGAATCTAGATAGCGGTTCCATTACTTTAGTGCCTAGCTTTTTAAACTATGGATTGTGACCCCGTATATGGTCATGGAAACTGAATGCAGAGGTTATAAAATATTTTGGCAATGTTAAATTTTGTGAATGAGCAATAATGAAAATTCAATATTTATCAAAATCTAAGGTATTTCTGGCAGTACTGGCATTGTTATATTTCTCTGATGAAAAGGAGCCATGAGGGGAAAAAGTTTAAGAAGTTGTCCTGTAGTGAAGTCCTGCACCAAGAGAAAAAAAACGCAATGAAATGAAAGGAAATATTAAAGATTTAAAAAAAAAAATTAAAAACAAAGCATGGTGGCAACCACAAATTTGTTTAACCAATTTATTCTACTCCTCGTCTTTAAAAAAAAAAAAAAGTAAAGTAAGTAAAAGTAAAGGCCCTCCCGTTGATCATCGATTTGCTCGAGCGGGCCCAGTAACGTCTCCATTGGAGACTTTGTTGTTACTGTGTTTGGCATATCGAATACGTCACGGGTAGCTTGCCAGGCTCTGCCGTGTGGGCAAGATACTCTCGGTAGCTTGCCAGGCTCTCCGAGAGGGGCGGAGGAATCGAACTCGGGTTGGCCATGTTGGCTGTGTGCAAGGCAAACGCTCTACCGCTGTGCTATCGCTCCAGCTCCCCACCCCCCCAAAAAAACACCTTTAACTCATTCAAAGACAATCACAGAGCTGAAGCCAAGATCTTCCTAAACGTCTGGTGCAGGCCAGAACAGAATGTGGTGTTAAATCATTTCTGCAGATGACATGGCATTGCTTCTTCTGAATTACATCTGGCAGTAAACTTTCCACACCTGGTTCCCTGGGCCTTAGGGAAATTCTCTGTGCTACCCCATACCATGTCTGCTACACTTGAGGAAAGCAAAAATACATTTCAGTGTGCTATTTATGTTGGTACTTTCCTGATAGCAAGACAATCCAGGCCCAGGAAACAATAACTTATTCCTAAGACTGAGGTTTTTACTTTCTTCCTGCACTTTATGGTGGGGAGAGAATAGACATGAAAGTCTGCCAAATTCTATCATAGTCATAAGCCATTATCTTCATTATTATTATTAAACTCAAGATGATCCAACAAGCCTCCTTTCAACAATGCATCTTTAAAAATATAATTTGCAGTAAAAGAACAATGAGACTTTTTAATTTTACTATCTCCCATTTTCCCCATGTAAAAGCAAACAATTGGTTTCTATTTTATTCAGTGACAAACAAATTTTATTGTTAATTTGGTGATTTGCTAATATCACTCTGACTAGTACATTTTAATAAATGCAAATTATATAACTAATGGAATAAAATTAACACTTAGAGCAATAGTTTTATGGGAAAATTGATAACCAGCTAGCACTAAAATATACTTAGTGTGTAGAAAATCTAAAAACTCCCTGAGAGGGAAGTATTTTTAGACATCGCTAAAGTGTTTCTTGATCATTTAAAGAAAACAGAATACAATCAGCAATCCAGAAAGGAAAACGGACTTACTCATTTCCCCACCCCAAAGTCAGCTCTCTGGAAAATAGAACCTTTACTCTTAATTGCAGGCTTCAGTGATAGCACAAGCAGGTAGGGTGTTTGCCTTGCATGCAGCCGACCTGGGTTCAATTCCTTCGTCCCTCTCGGAGAGCCCAGCAAGCTTCCGAGAGTATCCCGCCCGCATGGCAGAGCCTGGTAAGCTCCTGTGACGTATTCAATATGCCAAACACAGTAGCAACAAGTCTCACATGAAGATGTTACTGGTGTCTGTTCGAGCAAACTGATGAACAACAGGAGGACAGTGCTGCAGTGCTACTCTTAATTGCAGTTTGCCACTCGCTAGCTATCTCACACACTGGGCTTAAGAAGAAGAAACTTTCATTAAAGAGTAAAAACACAACGCTTGAGTAGAGACAATTCTTTTCATTGTCTTTTCTTAATCAAGGGCACACAAATTTCACCTAACCTTATCCCTCAAAAATGAGAAATTGAATTCCAATGATGCTAAAGCAAATTCCATTTCTCAGTGAAACTTTTAATACTTTACCAAGAAAATGTAACATTACTAACAGTGACAGGAAATAAAATTATAAATAAGGTAATTTGGTTCATTAAGGCAAATATAATCATTATCTTAGTAAAAACTTCTTCAGATGAATGAAATACCTAAGAATTGAATGAAGTTTCGTCAGCAGTTTCTTTCCATTTGCTACATGGCCAGAGGGAGGAGGTTGTTGGGGACATTATTGCATTACTGCATTATATTGCACATTTCTTATATTGCATTATATTGCATATTTCTTATATACATAATGCAATAATGAACATGGATAATATGTTAAGTGAAAAAAAAAAACAGTACAAAGGGGCAAATCTTGCATGATTCCATGTGACATGTCCATAACATAAAAATCCACAGAGATGGCAGATTAGCAGTTGCCTAAAGTTAGGGGATTCAAGAGTATTGTAGGATGACAGCTAAAATGTGTAGAGTGTCCTTCAAGCATTTGAAGATATCCTAACACTGTTTATGATGCAGACAACAGAACTCTAAATATATGTAGAAAACACCGTCTTGGACATTTTAAATGGGTAAATTGTGTGTGGCCGTTGTCTCAATAAAGTCTCTACATAAGGCATTCCAAACTCTAGGTATGCTGAAAACGTTTTTTAACATCATCTTAGTATCTTCCATAGGATACTGATCTCTGTTCCACCTTTTCTGTATTTAAGCATTTTGATAAACAATACTGTGAATATTGGGCTGGAGCGATAGCACAGCGGTAGGGCATTTGCCTTGCACGCGGCCAACCTGGAAGACCCTGGTTTGATTCCTCTGCCCATCTCGGAGACCCCAGCAAGCTACCAAGAGTATCTTGCCCACAGGGCAGAGCTTGGCAGGCTACCCGTAGTGTATTAGATATGCCATGTGAGTAACAATAAGTCTCACAATGGAGACGTTACTGGGGCTGCTCGAGCAAATCGATGAACAACGGGAGGACAGTGACAGTGAATGTGAATATTATCATTTGAATCTTCGAGGACTACCCTGTTGCTACACCACACACCTGTCCTAAGAATGTCAGCAGCCCTTCACCTGTCTCTCTAGGTCTCCTTTTGTGCCTTCCCCCAGTAGCCTCCTCTTGGCACACTCAGCTCAGCAGAACAGGCAGCAGAATCGCGGATCTGTTATCTGTGTCATTGTTTATTCCCTTACTATGTTCTTTAAACTCTAATATAGATGGGATCACTCAGTATTTGCCCGTGCTTGATTCGGTTCATTCAGCATGGTATCTTCCAGTTCCATCCAAGATGCCTGCAGCAAACTGCAGAGTTTCACCTTCTCTTACTGCTTAATAGTATTCATGCAAATTGTTATGTACAGTTGATTCCATTTTACTGTGGACTAGTATTCTATAGTATTAGAGCGTCACAATCTAACCATCCACCTGTTAAATAACATTTGGCTTATTCCCAGTTTTGTGCGAACAGAAATTATCATTAGTCTGGGGCAAATGCTTGAGAATAATTGCTAGATTATGTTAAATACCAATTTAATATCAACAGTGGTAATGTTTCTTAAAAAAAAATGAAGATCACATTCAATAACTACTCTTCAATGGCATTGTGGTTTTTTTGTAACAAAATTACTTCCTTAAAGATAACATTTACTGAACACTTACGCTAATGAACCAAGCACTATGCTGTGTATTTAAACATATTACCTTGTATAATGCCTGCCTCACAAATGAACTAGGATCTTGATCATTATCTCCACCTCAAAAATAAGAAAACTGAGATACAGAAGAGAATCTGGATCTAATTCAGTATCACAAAACTAAAATGTGTAGGGCTGGAGTGATAGCACAGTGGGTAGGGCGTTTGCCATGCACGCGGTCGATGGGAGTTTGATTCCCAGCATCCCATATGGTCCCCCAAGCACCGCCAGGAATAATTCCTAAGTGCAGCACCCGGAGTAACCCTTCTGCATCACCAGGTGTAACCCAAAAAGCAAAAAATAAAAACAAATAAATAAAAACTAAAATGTGAAGAGCTCGCATTTAAACAACAAAGTATATTCCTGTCAATTCATGTCAACATTAACTCCCATTCCTATAACATAAGGATACCAAAAGTACATATGTACCCAAAAAGTCTGTATTTAGATACTAATGTTCACATGTGATTATCCCTCTTCCTAAATAAGAATGATTTCCATACTGCAGACATAACTAAAATCAATAATCTAGTATATGTACAACTATTGCAAAAAGAGCAAGCAGAATAGAGGAGATGGAATAAAGTTTTTGTTCCACTTTTCTCTATAAACTTTCTTTTAGGTTAGTTTTCTTTAATTTTGCAAATAGAAAGCCTAGGGACATATAAGAAAGAGGAAAGGAACTAAAAGTATGAGGACTGGAGGGAGAGTAAACGAGGTAACATGCTTGCCTGCACATAACTAGCCCAGGTTTTATTCCTGGTACCCCATGTGGTCCCAAGAGCCCCACTAAAAGTGATTTCTAAGCACAGAACCAGGAGAAAGCCCTGCACACCCCTACGTGTGGTCCAAAACAGAGCAAAACAAAATAAAAAGGAAGTGAAGATATGGATTAAAAACTGCACACAGTTTTAGAACAGGGTCTGATGTTATATGTGATGACCATAGCTAATGCTGTACTACAATATATAACATGGTAAGTAGCTAAAAGTGCCAATCTCGAGGCCACATGGCAATGAGAAAAACAATGTTTTTCTTTTTGGTCTTTTCACCTAATTTTCTCAAAAGCTCTGGCCACTGGCCCCATGCAACAAACACCACATACTCAGATTCCCCATAGGAAAATCCTAGGATTCCTTACTCGCCATTCACAAACATAGTCAATTAGAAAACAGAATATAGAACATAAAATACATGAAACCTACTTGCAATTGAACAGAATTGTGCTGAAGACCTTCCACAATAGAAGAAAATCTGTCAATATTTCTTTCTTCTCCAGCTGATGTTAAAGCTTCTAAAACTTCTTCAAGGCTATTAAAATATTTGAATTTCTTATTAAATTGCAAATAAAAAGCAAACTTAAATGTTGTAATATAATTGTACTTTGCCTGCTGAATTACAAAATCACTTCTGGACAAACAAACATTTTAAAATTTGCTTATTGATTACATGATTACAAATAATGTTCCAAAAATTATGGTTTAATTTGTTCCGAAGAACCCCAGGAAACTTACTTACCAAGGATATGTATAGTGTCCTTACTGTATACATTAGTCACTATTTAAACAAACAAGCAATCAAAGTTGTTATTAAAATGAACAGCTCACTTTAATGTAAATAATTCAATGAAGTAAGTATTCTCCCTTATTACAGATAAGGGAACTGAGGCAAGACAGAATCTGTCTAAAGTCTCACATCTACTAAATAGGAAAGCTAGGATCTGAAACCAGTTTGTCTGTGCAGTGAGACCTATATAAAGTCTATTTACATGCTTTTGAGTGCAAATAAGTTCTGATAACAAAAAAAAATCGTGAGTAAGAAATTAATAGTCAACTATAAGACACAGTCATTAAGCAAGAAATAGCTTTTTCTCCTTTGAAGATTGACAGCACTCAGCAGCTCAGAATGACTACAGCAGCTGTTGGTAGGCAAACACATAGCCCTAAAACATTATCATTTTGCAATAAGGATACTGAGAGGTAATCATGTCTGGTCCTTTATCTATTTTCAGCATGCAGTTCTTATCCAGATAATTTTCAACTATCTTTGTCATAGCGGTCCCTTCTCTATCCCAACTGCTTTCTCCCCCAGCACTGAGGCAGGCCTCCATGGACCAATCCTCCTGGTACTTGTTTCCACTGTCCTTGGGTGCTCGTCTCATATTATGTTCTTATACTCCACAAATGAGTCCAATCACTCCACTTCTATCCCTCTCCTTCTGTATTATTTCATTCAGCATGATACTCTCCATGTCCATCCACTTATTAAGGAGAGAAAGGGAAGGGGGAGCACCTGCCATAGAGATAGGCTGGGCGGGGGGAGGGAAATTGGGGTCATTGGTGGTGGGAAATGTACATTGGTGGAGGGATGGGTCTTGAAACACTGTATAACTGAATCCAACCATAAACAGCTTGTAATTGTGCATCTCACGGTGATTCATTAATACAAAAAAAAAACCACAACTTTATCATCTACACCATTTTGATGGTGATATGAAAATCAAGAATTAAATCATAGAAGTGAACAGAGGAAAAAGAAAATAAAGAATGTTTAACACACTGACACCAAGAGAGGTGAACCACTTGAATGTGGCTTAACTAACATACACAGCAGGACTTTGATGTGTTTTAAAAAAAAAAAAAATCCGGAAGAAGTAAAGGACAAGAAGACCAAAGAGGAGAGAAGAAGAAACAGCAGGTAAAGGAAATAGGAGAAAAAAGTAGAAAGAAGAGGGCAGAGGAAGACAGGAGGAAAGGAGAAGCAGTGGCAGATGTCTTAGGTATCAGTATTAAATTCACTCTTTCACTTATACAGCGCAATCAACATCTCAAAGTGGGTAAGGAAAGTGCTAAAGCTGTTGGTCTGGCTTTGCATGCTGGGATTGCAGCCAGTTTCAGCCAAGGTCACAAATACATATATGCCACATAAGGTTCGGGAGTAAAAGGCCAAGATGAACGATGGCTGCTGAGTGTCCAGCTAGATCCAAAAGGAGCAGCCCACACAGTCACTAGCCCCAGCAGAAGTAGCAGAGTTGGTGCGGGAGGTGACTGTTTAGGACTCTGCCTGTTCTTATTTCATTTTGTTCTTTTGGTTGTTCAGTTTTAAGTTTTATTCTTTCTTAATAGCAAGTCATATGATATCTCGGAAGTCCCAAATATAATCAGAATCCTCAATCTTCTTTAAAAAGCAGGGAGAGTTTAAGTGTTCTGGTCTTTTAGTTGGAATCTGAACAAACACAGTGGGCTTCAACATTTAAACCTTTGGCATATATTTCATAAGCCAAGAGCAGGCTTCCTCAAGTAGTAAAGGACTATTAAACATATTACTTTCAAAACCTGCCTTTCATTGTGCTTGTCCAATAGTGATATCTGCGTCAGTTACAAGATAAATTAATTCAACATGGAGAAAAAATTATATAAGAAACAATCCACTTGTATAGATAAACATTTGACTTAGATTATTTCCCTTAGAACTTGAGTTCAGAACAAGCTGAAAATAAGTAACACAAAGAAGTTTATCATAGAAACACAGCTACAAAACCAAGTAAAAATAATTATTGTTCAAATATTTCTGTTCAGTGAGTATAAATCTAAATCTACTATTCAAGCATACTTTATTTAATTATGTTCAGGAATGAAAGCATTAAGTGAATCAAACTATGTCATGTTATAACAGAATTAAAGGAGTAAGTTAAGATGACTTACATGTTTTCCTCTCCTACAATGCATACTGCAGAAAGGAGTTTCACCACATCAGTCATCATATTGGGATACTCTGGATCGATGGCTTTGGCTAATAATGACAGACTTCTCTCTTCACTCATAATTCTTTCCAAGCCGTACTATAACATAGCACAAAGAAATTAAAGGTTATAAGTTAGTTAGGGAATGTGTGCCCTAAAGGAAATGTAGTTATTTAAAATTCTTTATAGGATAATGCATTTTACACTTAGTAAAAGGCCAAGAAAAATAAAGAATGGACAAGAAAAATGAAAAATGTAAAACACCCTGAAGAATTTATGAAAGTAGTCATTTTAAATCAAGAATGTTAACCAAATGCAGACAACCCCTCCAGGATTAAAACAACATGACTGATAATTGCTAGTAAAGAAACAATGAAGGAACAAAGATTTTCCAGTAGGAACACACAAAGTGTATAGCTACTGAAGCAGGCAGTAAAATGAGAAAATTACTGCCAAGATCAGTGATGTACTACTGTGTAAATACTCAGGGCAGCAAATCCCAGTGAACCGCATGGATTATTTAGGACTATAGTGCAGGCTCTGGCACTTTGGTGGTGCCAAAACTGGACTCCTCAGATATAAATTTACCACCTTAGAAACCAGTGTTACTTCTAAGGGGAAAAGTTAAGTTTAATTTAAAAATTAATTTTAAGGGTTTGGAGCAATAGTACAGCAGGTAGGGCATTAGCCTTGCACATACCCAACCCACGCACCTCCAGGAGTAATTCATGAGTACAGAGCCAGGAGTAACTCCAGAGCATCACAGGTGTGCCCCCCAACCAAAATAAATAAAACTCTCATCAACAAACACTACATAAAAAAATAATATTGATTTTAAGCAAGTATATTTTAATCATATTACATGGGTACGTAACTAAAATGAAACACTGAAATGAATTTTACTTTTTCTCTTTCAAAGCAATCAATATTCAATGCTATTTATTTTACACTTAGAGCAAGCTCAATTCAGATTAGTCACACTCAAGAGTTCTTTAGCCCAAGTGGCTACCATATGATAGAGGTCCGGTCTAGAGAGAATCATTCGTAAATGAGCAAAAGCTTAAGAAAAACTTGTGCCGATACCATGCAAGAACAACCATAATGTGTTTATGTTTTCTAATCAGAATGATGTTACCTGAAAAATGATAGCGTTGCAAATATATCGTATAAATAAGATAACTTTGGATAGGATAAAGTCTGTTTGCTAGATGTCATACCCTTTTGGAAGATAAGCTATATTCATATTTTATATTTGTATACATATTCCTTTATTTACAAGATATATGTATCTTTTGATTTAAGAAAATATTCATCTTTTAGGGTACACTTACAATTCTACTGAAGGAATCAAATAACAGAGAACAGACAATAGAAGGGAAAAAATTACTATTTATTTACCAAGCATCCTAGAGCCTATTTGTAAAGAATGAAAAATTTGTTCAATAAGTTACAAGTATGCACTAAAGAAAATCCTTTCACACAATTACAAACCTATGAACTATTAAAAAAAAACTAATTATTCGCACTAGATAAGTATCAAAGTAGAATCTAGAAAAGTTTAGATGCAAATGTTTTGAGTGTTATAAAACCCCTCTGATGGCCTCCCTCTCTTGTATATGGCCTGTATGCAAAAGCAAGCTCTCACATTGTATTAATTTATGCTTAAATTATTCTAAGGTACAGATACAAAGGAGAAAGTACAAGTAGAAGGACCAAAGAACACAGGATTTAATTTTTTATCGTTCTGTTTTGTTGGTGAATGTAAAAATTTACAGAGACAATAAACACAGTAAGGTGGTGCTCACTTTTATGATGGTGTGGGCTATTTATAACTGCAAACAAACCAAATAAGAGGAACAGCTAGACAAAACTACACTTTGGAACCCATTCCAGAAAACTGTCAGAGGTTGATAAAGTTCCAACTCAAAAAGTCACTCGGACACGCATCACCAACTACCAGAAGGTTGGCTCCATCCTAATAAACCTCAAACTCAGGTTTAAGTTGTTTTTCTCTAATAGCTTCCCTTCATCTTCTGCCCGCCTGGTTGTCCTTAACCAGTACCTACCCTTCCGGAATCAGAATTTTGTGTTTCCTACACTCTCTCAAGATGGCTCTGGCTGTTTCCAAGCAATACAATCTACCTTCTGTGTCAAGTCCTCTGTCCTGAACCAACGTGTGTGAAAGATGAAACTGGAGCATTCTGATTTCCTAGTTTTGACCAACATCTTGTGATCCCCAAAATTTCATCTGATTTTGCAAACATAAAAATATGTAGTATTGGTGTGTTTCAAAACTGTAATGCGCACAGATTACCACCACTCAGCATCTTGAACTAAATAAAATTGCTTTCTATTTGAATCAAATGAGTCTCTCTTTTTTTTTTAAGTCAAGAAAAATCAAACAAAAACTGTTGACATTGAGACAAATAGTCAACTTACCAGAATTGGCACCTAAAAGTGCTTTAAAAAAAGGCTTTTTGAAAGTTAGAGAACTGGTGACAAACTGTGGAAGGTCTAAGGATGTCTCTCTCTTGAATGTCAAGGACCCACTCTGGATTATACGAAAACCCCTGTGTTCTAGACTGAGGACCAATACATTCCATTTGCATTCACCTGGATCCTATTATTACCTAACAGACAGAATTTCAGTCATCCAAGACACGTTTAGATAAGAGTACGCATTCAAGTACCTTAAATTCCTACGTGGGATGCCTAAATACGCATGCTTAACTTCTGGTGAGTTGATCCCAGTACTAGAGGTCATTTGGGGAAGGGGCTGACTTCTGGAACGAATCACTGCACTGCATACACCTCAGAGCACATGAAATATGTTGACTGACAAAAATGAAGCCCCTATTTTAATTGTGTTCTGAATATAGTAGCATTTTCGTCCTGACTTGAATTTTCTTCGTAATGAGTACTCAAAATCATCTTCCACTAGCCAGTGGGGTATGGAGGGGCAACTACTTAAAACTTTGGGACTAAATGACTATCATGTGGTGACCAGAAGGGAACTGGAAGGTGACTAAATTGCTACAAAGGGGACAAATATTTCATGAAAGACAGAACTGGACTTTCAGGAGCTGGAGAGACAGCCTACCGGGTAGGGCGTTTGTCTTGCATGCGGCCAACCCGGGTTCAATTCCCAGCATCCCATATGGTCCCCTGAGCACTACCAGAAGGAACTCCTGAGTGCAGAGCCAGGAGTAATCCCTGTGCATCACCAGTTGTGACCCAAAAAGAAGAACTGGGATTTTAGTGGTGAAGGCTTAGTAGCTTAAATACTGATTTTGCACCATGCTATGTTACAATGCAGTAGAGTTTCTTTTTTAATAAAAATTGTCCAACTAAGCATATGAAATTCAAATTCATTCATTGCATCTATTGTGTAAATGCTAGTACCAAACAAGGCACCACACTTTTTTACTCTTTAAAGCCTGCATTTTTGTCAATGAACTCATAAAGATTCCACATTCTCCAATGGAGACGTTACTGGGCCCGCTCGAGCAAATTGACGATCAACGGGAGGGCCTTTACCTTTACCTTTACCTTTATTAAAGTACACAAGAAACCATCAAACTGGTTTGGGTGGGGGCAAGGGTGGGTAGGAACACTACAAAAACATTTCATGTACTTTTAAGTTCAGACATTATAATAGTAATTCCAAGTATCAGTAACCTAACTTTTTATCTTTATTAATAATGGTGATAACAATAAATGAAAATGAAAATTTGTTCCAATTCAACAAATACAAACTATAAGTAAAGCAATTTACTATTATGAGAATACATTATTTTAGATTAAAAAGTTTATTCAGTCCAAATTGGTCAAATAAAGTCCAATTTAGTCTCAAAACAAGTGGGAATACCATCATTTTTGTGCCACTGCACATTCCTATAATACTTCTCTCAAAATTCAAATGATGAGACAAAAGCTTCTTTGGTTTGAAAAAAAGTTCTCTATCATAATCAACATTAGAAAACAAATTTTCTAATGTTGTCTTTGTGGCAGGTCTGAATGTTGGAGAAAATTCCAAATAACAGTGGTGGGTCTTTTGTAGTAATATTGAATGTTGACCAACGCAGAGAGACAGAGAGAGACAGAGAGAGAGAGAGAGAGAGAGAGATGGAAATCTGCCACACAGGTGGGAGGTGGGGTATACTGGGGTTCTTGGAGGTGGAAAATGTGCACTGGTGAAGGGACGGGTGTTTTATCATTGTATGACTGACCGAGATTTGAACTGAAAGGTTTTGTACTGTTCTCACCGTGATTCAACAAATAAAAAATATATTAAAAAAAAAAAAAAAGTTCTCTACTCTCAGTCTTTCCAGCCCCAGCGAATCATTCATTTCTAGCATTTCTAGTCTCACTCTCTATGGAGACTCCTGCAGTGCTTACACAACCAGTATAGTGTGACTTCTTCTAATCAGCAATTCCTAATTATTTTCTCCATTTACTCTTAAGATTTTAAGAAAGGTCACTTCATATATCTAAAACATCCACATTACAGTACACCCAGTATCTAAAGGATCTGTGGATTCCACAAAGTTTCCCCTTGAAAAATAAATGGAGAAAAAAAATGCAACACTGGTTAAAAATAGAAAACTTAACTTTAAAAAAAAGTAGGGACTGCATGGAGGCAGGTGGAGGGTAGGAAAAGGGGGCATTTACCGGGATATTTGTGGTGGGGAATATGCACTGGTGGAGGGATAGGTGTTTGATCATTGTGAGATTGTAACCCAAACATGAAAGCTTGTAACTATCTCATGGTGATTCAATAAAATTTTTAAAAGTCAGGAAAAGTATAAAAATAAAAAATAATTATAAAGTATTTGCTATTTAGTAAAAAAAAAAGTGTCAGAAATTCTAATGTCATCACAGTACTCAAGTGTTGAATACTCTGAAGATTCATTTTAAAATAATAAGACATGGGGCAAGAGCAAGAGTACAAGGAAGGCACTTGCACTGCACACATGGCTGACCCAGGTTTGATCCCCAGAACCCCATATGCCCCCCCACCAAGCTTTTTGGGAGTGAACCCTGTTCATAGAGTCAGGAGTTAGCTCTCACCACAGCCCAGTGTGATCAAAAATAATAATAATAATAATTAAAAGATAAAGGCACTGAAATTTAGAAATATGATTTTTTTTTCTGAAAATTACACATCCCACCACCATAGGCAAATTTTTCTCCCCTGCTCTCTTAAGGAGAACTAAAACACCAATGATATCACTGATCTTGAGGCAAATATGTTACATAACATGTTGGAGCTGAAGAGACATACAGGAAAGATCTAATAGATCAAAAGCACTCTCTTTTCGAATGTTTCATAATTTAATAACCAAATTATAAAGATCTGCCATTGTATTCAGTCACGATATTACTTCTATTAAGTAATTCCATTCTATTTCAAGTCTTGTTCTGTTTCCATTCATCTCATTATAGATTTTAACCATAAGAACTATTTCCAATTTAATTCTTTGTTAATATGTATTCTGCAGATCATAGCATAGTCACACACAACCTCAAAGCTAATTCATATTATACTTTTGAATTTTTAAAAAAAAGGGGGGGAGGGGAAGAAAAACTTAGTTTACATATGCAGAGTTAGGCACCAGAAGATCATTCACAAAATTATCCCCATTAAGAGATAGATGCTAAAAAAACTAAAAATCATTTAAACATATTCCTACTATGCACTGAACAATATTGTAGTTCATTATCTGATGCAATTCATCATGATGACTAATTCATGGGAACCCTTTAAGAGCTGATGAAGAAAGAACACAGCACAGGTTATCTACCTATGTACATACCTGTGTGTTCATCAAAGCCTTTAGACACTGTATGACTTTGTGCTGATTCTTCTTCACAATTTTGTCTTGCCTGCATTAGCATAAGAGATGTGTTAGAATTAGAATCTGACAGGCAAATTTAGCCTAGTTAAAAAAAAACAATTAGCTATACTTGCATTTTGCCACTAATCAGTCTCTCCAAAATGTCCAGTAATAATCCAAGTCCTTCATGCCCAAAGCTTTCCACCCAACTGGAAGAAAGAAGTTATGAAGTTAGTATTTTTGTATAAAATACCACAAATGTTATAATATTTTTACACTTGTGATTACTTATCATAAATGCAAGAATACCATATACAAAATCAGTCATGGTCCATAATCAAGTATTAAAGTGTGAGAGAGATTTATGTATTTCCTTTTAGTATATTTACATATCTAGTATACATATGGATCATGTATGTAGTCTTTAAAAATTGGGATGTTAAATGAAATATTGTCATCACAAAGAATAAAAATGAGCTTGTCAGACACACATCATGATATGTTGAGTAATATTTCCTAAAAAGATACGATATGATATTTCCCATGAAAATTAGAATAAAAAACAAATACAAACAACAGTGATATGGGAAAAAATACTTCTATGTACACTGTGACAGACTGATCATCAATAAATGTTCAAAATTATCAACCTCAATAAAATTTAGAGGGTTGGAGTAAAAACACAGTGGGTAGGGTATTGCCTTGCATGTGGTCGACTAGGGTTCAATTCCCAGCATCCCATATAGTTCCCTGAGCACTTCCAGGAGTATTTCCTGAGTGGATGAGCCAGGAGTAACCCCTGCATATTGCTGGGTGTGACCCAAAAAGCAAAAAAAAAAAAAAAAAAATAGAAGCTGCCATTCAGTCTGGGGCGGAGCGATAGCACAGTGGTAGGGCTTTTGCCTTGTGCACGGCTGCCCCAGCAGAGCCTGGTTCAATTCCTCCGCCCCTCTCGGAGAGCCGAGCAAGCTACTGAGAGTATCTCGCCCACACAGCAAAGCCTGGCAAGCTACCCCTGACGTATTCAATATGCCAAACACAGTAACAAGTCTCAAAATGGAGACGTTACTGGGCCCACTCAAGCAAATCAATGAACAATGGGAGGACAGTGTGACAATGCCATTCATTCTGTTTTACTTATTTTACTCTTCTCTGTCCAGTAAAATCAGGACAACCTAATTTTTAAACGCACTTACTTCCCTATAGAGGGGGAAAAACATGGAGGATAGCTATCAGAGTTTAAGGGGGAAAAAAAGTTAGATAGAAATTGGTATTTTCAAACCAGGGTGCTACTTAAAAGTGAGGACTTTACTCTCCACTATTAGGAACAAGCAGATTACCTGTAGGTACTTCAAGTCTTGCTTTCATATTTCATAAAAAGAAAAGAAAAAGCCTATAAGCAGCATGTTTAACGGTTTGCCTTACTGACATCTTATTCTGTATGTATTCTTATTTCACATTCAGCAGGAAAGCTAGAAATCAAATGCTGAGAGCTGTTCTTGAACCGGCACTGAGATGTGCGGACAGATCACTCCAGCAGCCCTCCTGAGTGAGAGCCCCCAGTGGGACTTTTTCATCGGAAATAAATCACCAGCAACCTCTATATTCAAGTATTTCATAAAGGATTTCATAAAGCTAACATAATAGTTTAGCTAACATCTGAAATAAATCATCTGAAATAAACCATCAACAACCTCTATATTCAAGTATTTCATAAAGAATTTCATAAAGCTAACATGAATAGCTTAGGATTATTGACTGCCATCAACTTAATCATTTTGAAAACAATGTTACTGATCCTAAAACTCGCCAATGTTAAAATATATAAATTTTATCTTGTGAACTTTCAAATAAGACATTGTGACACTTAAAAAGTTAGCATTTACTCTAAAATTAAGGAAACAGCAATCCAGCTAACTCAGTCTTTTGAGCTCAGAGAGTAGAGCTGTTTTTAAAATGTACCACCCTTAATATGAAAACTATAACTAAATTACAGAATCCACAGAAGTTTTAAAATCCACAATCTTTAGACCCACTGTATAAATTAGACACTATAGAATATGAATCATGAATATGAATCATTAAAGTAAAGGATATCCACTTGTGTATCTGTTAATTAGTAAAAACTTACTAAAAGGAATGTAAAGAGGCATTATGTCAAATTATTTTATACTATTTTCCCTCTTTTATAGACAGGAGGCTGGAACACAGCGGGTAGTACATTTGCCTTGCACACAGCCGGCCGAGGTTCGATTCCTCCGTCCCTCTCCCAGAGCCCCATAAGCTAATGAGAGTATCCCACCCACACAGCAGAGCCTGGCAAACTCCCCATGGCATATTCAATGTGCCAAAAACAGTAACAAGTCTCACAATAGAGAGGTAACTGGTGCCCGCTCAAGCAAATCAATGAACAACAGGAGGACAGTGCTACAGTGCTATAGACAGGGAGGAGGATGGAGAGAGAAGGGGCAGCCTCCCAAGCAGTGCTCAGGATCCAAGTATGTAATACAGCTCAAGCCCTATGGTCCCAGAGATTACCCAGACCACCCCAGCAGTGCTCAGGGCCCTCTAAAGCTACACCAATGACACTTAAAGAAGCATGTGGTGCCAGGTACCAGAATTCAGGTGCATGCTAGGCACACACCGTGACCCCGCTACTCTCTCTCCAGTCCTATAATACACTCTTGACTGGTAGTGAAAACTAATTTCTCAACAATAAAATCAGAGAGGACGGCGGCGCCCATCTCATCTTAATTCCAGGACCCCAGGTGTCCCCCGAGATGCCTGAAGAGAAGCAGTTTTGAGCGTCTGCCCTGCCCTCTTCACTCCTGACCTGACGGCGGCGCCCATCTCATCTTAATTCCAAGTCAGAACAGCTGCCGGCTTGCGACCCTGGGACCTCCATCTTTCCCTGCAGGACCCCAGGTGTCCCCCGAGATGCCTGAAGAGAAGCAGTTTTGAGCGTCTGCCCTGCCCTCTTCACTCCTGACCTGACGGCGGCGCCCATCTCATCCCAAACCCAGGGTTCTGTAGAGGCGTGGCCTCCTCAAAAGTGGGCGTGGCCTCAAAAGTGGGCGAGGCTTAATTTCCAGCGGGTGGCCGGATGTTTTCCCATACTAAGGAACCTACCAGGGAATCTAGTAACCCAACCTACTCAGCAATATGAAGAAACAAAGAAAATCTCCAACACAAGAGGAGAACAACGAAAACAATCTAGACCATTCTGTCAATACAGCTCACCTAAGGGACCTCTCTGACATAGAATTCAGGTACGAAGTCATCAAGATGTTCAATAAACTCAATGAAACAGTCAGACAGACAGCCAGTAACACCACAGAAAAAATCGACAAATTACGAGAAGAAATGAGGGCAGAAATGTCACGATTAAAAGATTCCATAGATGAAATGAGAAATTCAGTTTCTTCTCTTAAAAATAGAATGACCACAGCTGAAGAGAGAATCAGTGAGCTGAAGATCAGCTGCAACAAGCCAACACGCAACAACAAACAGTGGCAAGGGACCTCAAAATGGCTCTACAGAGAATCAGAGTCCTAGCAGATGACTCCAAGAGGAACAATATTAGAATCATGGGACTACCTGAACCTCAGGGAAACAATCCCAATGAAAAAAACACCGTCAAACAAATCATTGCTGAAAACTTCCCAGAGCTGCACAATGCAGCCATTCAGGTTCAAGGAGCCCGAAGGGTGCCAGCTAAAAGAGACCCCAACAAAAACACTCCAAGACATATCATAGTTAGAATGATCGATACGGCCGATAGAGACACAATACTGCAAGCAGCAAGAGCAAAGAAGGAAATCACATACAAAGGAGCATCCCTTAGATTCACAGCAGACCTATCAGAGGAAACCCTACAAGTCCGAAGGCAGTGGCGAGATATAGTCAAAAAACTCACGGAAATGAATGCTTCCCCAAGAATACTCTACCCGGCTAAACTCTCCCTCAAAATCGAAGGAACAGTACACTATTTTATAGATAAACAGCAGCTCAGGAACTTCATAGACTCAAAACCAAACCTAAAGCAAGGCCTAAAGGGGCTACTATAAGAAAAGACAAACCCTACAACCACAACACACCCGCACAGAAACATGACACAAAACCCCATAACCATTCTCTCTCTCAATGTCAACGGTCTAAGTTCACCAGTTAAGAGACACAGAGTGGCAAAATGGATACAGAGACAGAACCCAACATTCTGCTGCCTACAAGAAACTCATCTCAACAGCCAGAACAAACACAGACTCAAAGTCAAAGGATGGAAAACAATCCTGCAAGTAAACAGCCCCTTCAAAAAAGCTGGGGTGGCCATACTAGTATCCGACAACATTAATTTCACCTTGAAAAAGATTAGAAGGGACAGTGAAGGCTATTTTCTCTTCATCAAGGGATACGTACAACAGGAAGAAATCACACTCTTAAATGGATATGCACCTAATGAGGGAACAGCTAAATATTTAAAACAACTGCTAACAGATTTTAAGGAGGACATCACTACCAACACAATAGTACTCGGAGACTTCAACATCGCTTTATCACCTCTGGATAGATCAACAAGAACAAAACCCAGCAAGGAATTACTGGCTTTGAAAGAAGAAATAGAAGAGAAAGGGCTTAAGGACTTATACAGGGCTTTACACCCCAAAAAGAAAGAATACACATTCTTCTCCAGCGCGCACGGAACATTTTCCAAAATAGACCATGTGTTAGGACACAAAACATACCTCAACAGAATCAAGAAGATAGAAATAGTATCAGCCATCTTTTCAGACCATGATGCACTGAGGATAGAAGTGAATCACACACAGACACGGAGAACCAAATCAAACACCTGGAAATTAAACAACTCGATGCTGAACAATGAGTGGGTCAGGAACGAAGTCAAGGATGAAATCAAAAGATACCTGGAAACAAATGAGAATGAAGACACAAACTACCAGAACTTATGGGATGCAGTGAAAGCTGTATTAAGGGGAAAATTTATAGCTCTGCAAGCCTATCTTAAGTCGATAGAAACGATGCACATAAACAATTTGACCTCACAGCTCAAGACCTTAGAAAAGGATCAACAGAAAGAGCCTAAATCAGGCAGAAAGAAAGAGATCATAAAACTTAGAGCACAAATCAACGACATGGAAAACAAAGAAACAATCCGAAAGATCAATGAAACCAAGAGCTGGTTCTTCGAGAA